TGCTAGGATTTGATTACACGGACTGCTTGAAATTTAATTAAATTGACACTCGGCTGAGCCTCTCCTCTAACACTTTTCGGTCTCCCCTGGTCTAATCTGGTCTCTGTCTAATTCAATTAATAACCGTGACACGAAATTTTGATTTCCGGTATCCTCGTTCCCTAGTTTAGAATATCTTATAGAATTTTGATAAGTCAAAATGAAATTCGCATAGACGAACGTTTCCGTTGATTGAAACTTTTCCAAGGCGCGGTTCAGTCGGTTCTAAAATAAATAAATAAAAAGAGTAATTCGCGTCGACGTCAGAGGGATGACGCGGTCGGCTGGCGCGGCGGTACACTTAATTTTCCATCCATTTCACGGCGAGCCGAGTCAGAAAAGTCCGTATTTCCTTCTTGCGGTCCGCGCGAACGGCAGCCGGAAAAACGGAAGGATAATTCCGTGGAAGCCGAGGAGTGGTAAGGGACTCTCGTAGGGAAGCAGCGGGAGAAAGGTTGCGGGATAGGAAAAGGGTAGGGAATCCGTGTAGGATGCGGGGCATCTTCCCCCTTTTCCAAGTAGCGTCGCGTCGTACTTTGATCAGGCGTACTGGATTTACGCTCATCCTCGGCAATCTGCCGTCCCTGCTTCACATCTCCCTCTCTCTCTCTCTCTCTCTCTCTCTCTCTTTTCTCTCCCTGTCTGTATCTCTTTCTCTTTTACTCGGCTGCATCCGTGCTCGTCGTACATTCGCCGTGTTGCCACAGCGCTCGCGACAGAGCATCTTTGAAGCACGACCCGTCGCGTCGTAGGCATTTCAACGAGGTTGGAGCACCGACGGAAGTGCCGCGGCAATGCCATTACCGGGTGAAAGGGACGAGCACGCCGGGCTCGAAGAAAGCCGGAACCGTGGTTAGAAGTCGGCCTTTGATTTTTCTCCTCGCCTACTCTTACCCCTGTACTGTTCGACGAGATACGTGCCGCGCGAGATTGAAATAATTGCCTCGTAGCTCGAATCGGTTCTAACGTTACAATTGGCAAACGTGCAAACTACCGAAGGCAGTAAACGAAGCGTCAAAAGAAATACATTACTCAGAAAAAATTGTGGCATTGCGAAATTTGTGTATAAAATTGACCAAGTTTGGAAGATGATTATTCAGCAACGAATTACTGTAGGACGATGATTTTTCTTTTAGAGTTTGAAATTTCTACTTTAAAATTCTATTCCAGAGATTTTTAATTTGATATACTCCTACGATAAAAAATGCTAACATCTAAGAGCATGTTTAAAGATTTTAAATTAACTATGTTTGATAACGTGCTCGGACTCAGATAATTTTTTTTGTCGTTTACGGCAAATGAAACTTTGTTTCTTCGCCTTTAACTTAAAAGAAGAATGCAGCGTTCACGATTTTTTCTCTCGAAGTTACAGTGATTTAAAAAGTCATTACCTATCGTAGAGGTGCATCGTTCTACGATAACTTTTTGCTGAGTAATCATCTTCCAAACTTGGGCTATTTTCGACACTTTCGTGATGCCATAATTTAGTTGAGTAATAATGTTTTAGGACAAAGTTCCCAATATTAATACTTGGTGAATTCTTCTCAGAACAAGTGGTTCAAGTATACAAATCATGTAAGATGAATTAAATAGAAATTATCACCTTTATTGATTTCACTTATTTACATCATTTAATCATTTTACATATCTATGTTGTTTTATTCATGTTATATATACTTTGCTAGGGAAAATTAGTTTGAGCTATTCGAGGCTATTCATATGAACAGCACTCTATAATACTTCAGTTTTGTACAATTATTATTGCCAGACTATGAATTGTTATGAAGATTAAAATATTTATAATAATAATTTTAAAAATGTGCTCTACGTGAATATTTATTTTGTCTGCTTGTGATGTCTTGTATATTTTTATATAGTAGATACATTGTTCATATTTTCCGTACATTGAACTTTTTTGCAAACGCATAAAATCAGCAGTTTAATTATTGCCTCGTCGTATACCGTGAAAAATAAAGAGAATCGGGGCAGAGCGAGACAAATCGATCCACTCGGTGGAAATTTATGACGATGAACGTAAGTGGCTGCCTCTGGAAGAGGATAGGGTTGAGCCAGAAAGAATCCAGGGATATGTGGCAGTTGTTCGCCTCGGCAAATTTACAGCTGTAATTTACACTATCGTCGAAAATATTCGACTTTAGCGGCGATGGATCGTTTCCGATTCCTTTTTATCGAGAACTCTTGGATGCAATTTAGGAATCATAATGAAGAGGCAATCGCTTTCTGCTGACTTATAAAATATTTTTACGAAGTAGAGTGAACCGAGATTTATTCACAGAAAGAAATAAAGAAAAGTAAGGAGAAAAGAGCGTAATAATTAATTAGTTTTAAAGCCATTATCATATCAATATCGAGAGGGAGGAATTTTGTTAAATATGAAAATTCCGCGACTTGGAAAACCGAAGCCCGTGAGTAAGCAGTCTTGTTAATTATTCAGAATTACAGTTTCCTCTTTAATCGACAGTTTTACCGAGAGAATTCTTAATCTCGTTTGGCTGAAAAAAAAAGGAGCAACGATCGGCTTCCTTCCGTTTCACGGGGGCGGAGTAGAAATAAAAAAAAAAATGAGCTGGTTAGTATCCGGAATGCATGGAGGAATCTCTATCGATCGGGTATTTACGGGAAAAATGCGAGATGCAAGGAACCGTTTCCGTCTTTTTATCGAAACAAAGGTTCTTAATAAAGCGCGACGCGAAAAAAGAGAATATATCAACCGATAACCTCAAGAATTTTTATCATTATCCACCGATGCGGCACCGGAATTTTCCGAGTCGTGATTTTTATCTATACCTAAAATAGATACTACCTCGGGAAATATTTCACAGTTATTGGCTCGAACGATATTCGAAGCAGATACAGAAAAGGGTACTTAGGTGAAGGTTCAACTTTAAATCGAGCAGATATCATTGATAAAACGTCGTTTAACCAAATAAACTCTAAATAACTTATTTACATCATTTAATCATTTTACATATCTATGTTGTTTTATTCATGTTATATATACTTTGCTAGGGAAAATTAGTTTGAGCTATTCGAGGCTATTCATATGAACAGCACTCTATAATACTTCAGTTTTGTACAATTATTATTGCCAGACTATGAATTGTTATGAAGATTAAAATATTTATAATAATAATTTTAAAAATGTGCTCTACGTGAATATTTATTTTGTCTGCTTGTGATGTCTTGTATATTTTTATATAGTAGATACATTGTTCATATTTTCCGTACATTGAACTTTTTTGCAAACGCATAAAATCAGCAGTTTAATTATTGCCTCGTCGTATACCGTGAAAAATAAAGAGAATCGGGGCAGAGCGAGACAAATCGATCCACTCGGTGGAAATTTATGACGATGAACGTAAGTGGCTGCCTCTGGAAGAGGATAGGGTTGAGCCAGAAAGAATCCAGGGATATGTGGCAGTTGTTCGCCTCGGCAAATTTACAGCTGTAATTTACACTATCGTCGAAAATATTCGACTTTAGCGGCGATGGATCGTTTCCGATTCCTTTTTATCGAGAACTCTTGGATGCAATTTAGGAATCATAATGAAGAGGCAATCGCTTTCTGCTGACTTATAAAATATTTTTACGAAGTAGAGTGAACCGAGATTTATTCACAGAAAGAAATAAAGAAAAGTAAGGAGAAAAGAGCGTAATAATTAATTAGTTTTAAAGCCATTATCATATCAATATCGAGAGGGAGGAATTTTGTTAAATATGAAAATTCCGCGACTTGGAAAACCGAAGCCCGTGAGTAAGCAGTCTTGTTAATTATTCAGAATTACAGTTTCCTCTTTAATCGACAGTTTTACCGAGAGAATTCTTAATCTCGTTTGGCTGAAAAAAAAGGAGCAACGATCGGCTTCCTTCCGTTTCACGGGGGCGGAGTAGAAATAAAAAAAAAATGAGCTGGTTAGTATCCGGAATGCATGGAGGAATCTCTATCGATCGGGTATTTACGGGAAAAATGCGAGATGCAAGGAACCGTTTCCGTCTTTTTATCGAAACAAAGGTTCTTAATAAAGCGCGACGCGAAAAAAGAGAATATATCAACCGATAACCTCAAGAATTTTTATCATTATCCACCGATGCGGCACCGGAATTTTCCGAGTCGTGATTTTTATCTATACCTAAAATAGATACTACCTCGGGAAATATTTCACAGTTATTGGCTCGAACGATATTCGAAGCAGATACAGAAAAGGGTACTTAGGTGAAGGTTCAACTTTAAATCGAGCAGATATCATTGATAAAACGTCGTTTAACCAAATAAACTCTAAATAATTGTATGGCATTAGGACAGATCTGAGTGTATCAGAATGATTAACACTAGATATACAAAGGGGAGGGGGGTCGAAATTACTTGTTTCTTATAATAATTATTCATTTTCAGTACATTCTGTTTTCTAAAATTTTGTATGACCAGTTTCCAAAATTTCCCCCAAAACTCCGCGCCTCTCTGAAACAAGCGCTATTATTTTCTTTGAAACTCTGTTGAACCGCAAAAATTGCAGCGTCCGCAAACGGACGCCGAGTTGAAGCGCGTACGCTCGGCGCACGAACACAGGGAATCGAGGGAAACAATCGTGTTGCGGCAAAGGATTAATTCTCGTGATGTACGGGATCAGGCGGAAGCAGGCAATGAAAGGGGATCGGGCTCTTTGAAATCTTTCGGCGATTAATTCGTTCGTGAGCGGCGGAACAACGCGCGTTTCGGCAAGACGATTTCGTGTGCCCCCGTACACGCGCATCGCCGTGCCGCAGAGCGGCCACGAAACCGACGCCCTTCTGTTCGCGTCCCGCCGGCGCTCGCGCGAACACCAAATTTGTCGGCGTAATTGCAGCCTGGGAAATACGGCACGAGACACGCGGCCGAATAAATCCTGCCCACTTTCTGACGTTCCGCAGCCGCTGACTGCCTTCCTCCCTTTTTGTTGCAGATACAAGTGTACGGATTCAACGCGGAACTGTATCACAATATGAGCGAGGCGAAGCACAAGAGCCAAGGGTTGGTCGCGATCTCGTTAATGGTTCAGGTAAGCTGATAAAAACCGATTTATCTTGAAAATTCATAGAAAGGAGAAAGTGTGATTATTAAAAAGCATGAATAAAATCATTTGATTATTTCGAAACAATTAATGTATATTAATATTCAAAACCGAAATCATACAACAAGCTACTTGTTTCTGATAATGAAAGTAGACTGAAATTCATAAGCAAAATGAAAACGAGGAAAGGAATAGGAAGAGAAGATTTTATTGGCGACATTCTTATTGTGGAACAGTTATTATCGAGCAGACACCGAGGCTCGAGTACTGCGGTTGTTCCGCGAATAAATTTCGAAGTTTCGAAGGAAACGTTTCTCTTTCACCGGCTCGTTCCGCATCCTCACATTTTCTCCTCTCGCTGTTTCTCTCCTCTTCCCGTTCGTGAACAGGGGCGGTGTTCCGCTAGAAGAAACTGGAAAGCCCGCGATTCTGAAGCAACAAACGCCAGGAAACAAGCGTTCATGCTTCTGATTTCTAGCGCGATAGTTCAACACACCCAGCCACCCCCGATTTACTCCGACTATTTATCAAAACATCGCCTCGTTCCACGCTGCTTTTTTTTCTAACACGACCTCCGCCTTTTTTCAATAAGCGATAGTAGAATTTAGAGTAAATTCCCAAGCATTTTCTGCAAAGTGTATTTATTATATAGTACTGACAATTTCTCACATTACCTAACATTTCCAAATATTTGCAAATATTTGCAAATACTTGATCTCTAAAATATTAGCATTGATAGCACTCAATAAAAAACATATAAATAGAATGCGGATTTTTATGCGCAATAAAATGTCTATGATACCAGTTTAGAAAACGAATTTCAAACACCGTTTCTGTTATCATTTAATATCGCAATATGCATTCTGCTTTTAGTATTTTCTATATTTTTATACATTTTATGCAGACTTCGTTTTTATTATACATTTAGTTTTTTTTATAAATGCACAGAATTCACATATGATTAATTCCATAGAAAAATAATGTTCAAGTGCACATAAACATTTGATATTTTCTATATTTTTATTCATTCGTGCAGTGTTCATTTTTATTACTCATTCAGTTTCCTTATAAATATACACAATTTGTATATAATTAATTCCATTAAAAGATAATATTCAAGTGCAAACTTTAATATTTCCCAATTCTTCCATTCTTTTTCATTCCGGTTAATTAAACTCAGACCTCATCATACGAACAGAACTGCATTTTTGAAACCAGAGGAACCATGTACCAAGTGGTATTAATCACACACCAGGTACTATTACACTAATGGCATTACGGGAACACCTGAGTCTGATTGAAAAATTGCCCCGAAATTATTCAGCGCGGCTAGTTTCGTTGGTTAACATCGCCGAGGCGCGTTCGTCAAAAACCGAAATGCTGTTCCTGTTGGCGAACCGTAATTTCCCCAGTATACTGTTCCCGTTTGCTAATGACACAAAAATCCTCGCGCGGATTGTTTCCAAATCATTACCCAAAATCACTGCTCGCCGGGGGATTAACGGCACGGCGACCGGAAGAAAAGCCGTGAGCACAGGTTCCTAGTGAAAAACCGCTCGTCGCGCGGCAACGATTCCCCGGTTTTGCCGCGCAGCGTCGAATAAATTTTCGAACTTCCATCCTCTTTTTTCACGATCCTTAGTAGCGTAAAATCCGCGACCATAAAACGCTCGCAAAAAGGATAAAAAACTGTACGGGTACATTAAGAGACACGGTTCAGAATTTCACTTTTAACATGTTTAAAATAATTTAAGGAACGCGTTGAGGAGTCATATAAGGTGAACGTCCTAATTTTTACTCAGCTGAGCATGATTTCGCTAACTGAACGTAAAAACAATGCGTAAGTCAAAATTTATAATGAAAAGTAATTTCGTGAAATAAATCAAATTTAGTAGTCGTAA